CCATTGCTCGTATTAAAGTAATGGTAAAGTGCCGGTAGCTCAAAATTTTACACACCTCACAAATCTTGATTTTGTTGAATCGAATACAACTTAACAAGTAATAGGCAATTAATTAACTAAGGTTTCTTCTAAAATTTATTTAGACATACATAAAACGTTTATTAAAGTTTACGCAATTAGTGAGGCATATCAATTTAGTTAAATTGATCCCGCAAGATGAAGTACCAATTCATAAAAGAAAAAAAAAAGATAGAGATTTCGCATAACAAAAAAAAAAGGGAGAAAAAATCTTTTTCTATTTGAAAAGCGCACCTTTGTGAAAAAAGAATTTTTTTAGCTGATTTTGTTTGATGATTCATATTGATTATGAATTGCGTCTCATATGTCATGTATCAGGATATGTTCCATAGCTTTATGTTGATAAGCTTTTGGTCAGTGAAAAACTATAATGCCAACTATTGTATAGAAATTGTGTTAGCAAGTTGAGAATAGAGCGAATGTGATGAACTATAGCAGGTACTTCTGACTAGTCTGCCATCCTAGATGTCTCCTGGTGCGGCTAAATTGGCGGTGCCGAACATCTGGCTTGGTCTGAATGATTGTGCTATCAAATGCTGACTGATTCATTCTCTATTCACACAGCACTGGCTTGCTATTTTCTATTGTTTTCTATTGTTCAATTCCTTTTTCTGTTCAATTTAGTTCTAAGTTTGGATTTGCAACCTTGATTTAAGGACATGCCACAGAATTCAATGTTCCTACATTTGCATGGGCTCCATACATGGACAATACAACTTCGCATCATTTTTCTTGACTCTCTCATATTACGTGTTGCTTATTGAGGAGAGCGAGAAAAAGATGCATTGCACCTTAGAAATGCTTTTTATCAACCTCAATCTTCTTATTTAGATTTTGCAATGTGTCTCTTCAACTTTTCCTAGTTGTATCTCGTATGCTTCCAAATAACCACCCTCTTCTCGGCTTCTTAACTTGTCTAAGGTGAATTTCTTTCATGGCTTGCTAGTGCAGTGTTGAGTGGCATTGGCTTATTGTGACTTTCATGAAAGGATTAAAGACGAGCACAAGAATGAAAAGAGCTAAGTGGTTATCATAGCAGAATAACCTTGATAATGCCCAACCATCCTATTAGTTACTACCACGCTCCAATTAGGGTGATATGGGGTGTAAATTGGAAATTGAAATGAAGAAAAAGGAAATGAAAGGATGTCAACCACAAGAAAATAAGTGAATGAAAGTGACATCCATTCATCCTGTTTTGATGGATATGGAATGAGTAGAAACTCTGTAACATTGTTTTGAAATGAAAGGAGACTATCATAAAGCTCCATTGACCAACGTTGGGGACCAACTGTTGCAAAAATCCAAAAGGACATCTAGCTAGCAGCACTAAGTTCTGGGATTATTGCTGTTTGAGAGCCTTAAGGGATGGTTAACAACTTCTAGGTAATAACTGAAATGGAAGACTGCTGGTTGCAGAACATAAGATGAGTGCTTATAGGGCCCTGAACATGTTGCCGTAAAGTCACAAAAGACCAATACCCCTTAATGGGGCACATGCCTAGTACGTGGGCCTCAGCTGTACAAAACTTTCTAAAACTACTGCCACACTTTGCGACAAAGTATAGCTTATGAAGCATACCTTCCATGTGGAACAACAAACATGCTCCTGCATCACTAATTGGCTTTAAACTTGCAATTTTAATCTTTTGGTCTGCAATTTTAATCTTTTGGTCTGTGGTGAAAGCTTTCCAATCTTCTCCATGTTGTAAATTGTGTACATTGAACAGCAGATACTCTGCCAAGTGGCTGACCTCTTATATTTCAGTGTAAAGGCATATACCCTCCTGAGAAGAACTCTTCTTTTTCATTCTCGCAAGTCGTGACAAGTAGTGTTATGGATGTCAAATTGCTAGAAACTGTTGGGTGTGAATGAGAATGTGATGGCTAACATTATTACCACTTGGTATGACAAATGGTTGGATATTTTTGTAATATGATAAACGGATGAACACTTTGTGTATAACAATGTAATGGCAAAAGATAATAGCTAAGCTGTTTGATTTAATGCATTAGAACTTTGCTTTAGAATCTTTCTCATAATGAAGTGCGATAAGTACAAAAGAAATAGCAGAGAGTTTTTCTATTTATTAAAGAAAAAAGAGAGAAGAACACATGTTGATGAATCTTTGGTGTGATGTCAAAGAGCTTAACCAAAGAATTGATGTGTGGGTTGTTATCATGGCTACTGGTACAGCCTCTATGAATATTGTAGATGTTGGATTTCTGATGCTATGTTTGGGTATTATAGTTCTCATATAGTTTTTTAATGCATTGATTTAATTTTTTTTTTTTTTTAATCTTGAGTTGTCTGTCAGTGAGCAGTTGTGTGTTTGGGATGTGATGAAGGCATGAGACATAGGACATATGTCCTTTCTCTGTCATTATGATGTTTTGCCCCCCCACAAGCATTAAAAGGGCATATAATTTCTTGCAGTTCCTATTGGAGTTGTGGCTTCTTTCAACAAAATGAAGAAGCTTACAAGAGACACATCCTTGATAGTGTCTGCACTCAGGCAATCTTCTCTTCTTGTAAGCCTCCTAGTTCCTCAGAAGATACTTATTTTTAGCTGTTGATTACTTTCTTTGTTCTTTATTTTTGTTTCTTAGGTAGTATAGATTAAGCTTTAACGCATTTATCTTTTTTCACCTAATATCTGCTTTCTTGGTCCATGTATGAGTAGTCTAGGGTAATATATAAATTGATGATCATTATTCCAGTTTGTTGGCGACTGTAGGTTGTTAGTAACAGTGGGAAGAAGGTGAAACGACTTCAACCTCTTCCATCAACTGAGGCCAAGGACCCAATGGTATTCTTCTTTTTGTTTTGTTTAAGGAACCTGATACATTTTGGTCATAGAATGTTAGTTATGGAAGATCTGGTGCATTGATGTTTCAACTCCAGCTTTGCACTGTTTTGGTGGAAAATTTACCTGATGATCACTCTGTGGAGAATCTTCAGATGGTATTTGGTGTAGCTGGAAAGTACGTCTCTCTCTTTCTCTCTACACTGTAACACTGTGTCTCAATGCTTCTTCAAGTAATACTTGCGCAATGGTATTTTCATTGTTGAAATTTCCAGTATAAAGCACATCACACTTCGTGATCCGCATGCTGCAAGGGAGTCCAGAAAAGTAACAACTGCAGAGAAGCTGCTTAGTGGTAAGGTATGGTTTGAAAGTTTGCTATTGGAACTCTAATGCTATGCTAGAGTTTATATGCAGTGTAGGTTTGGATTTTGAGCAGTAAATCCTCTCGTATTATAGCTTAGTTGAAAGAGATTTTTCCATGCCTGAAATTCCACTCCTGATGAAGATTTTAAACATGCTATTTTTCCTTCCCTCTGTCCATGAAATATATATATTTTTTTAAGTTATGTTAGTTGAGGCAATTGGCCAGCATTCTTTTGTAACAGCGCGTAATGTGTTTTTGTGCATCTTAATCTTTCATCTGTCAAATGACTGTTTTGGAGCTTAACCTTTAAGTGTTTGGAACGTCCTTTGTTTTTTGTTCTTAGCTTTGCTATCAGGATGGAGTTTCTTGTTTAATGTGATGAAATTAGTTGATGAAGTCATTGTATAACCAAAGTTTTTGATTGTCTTGTTTGTTGGAATTTGGAAAATGATAATGTTGCGTAATGATTTGAATGGTACAATGATAATCAGTCTGATGTTCTGTGGTTATACTCATTCTATTCGTGTTTGCCACTTACATGCAAAGCAGAGCGTCCCATTTTGATCTGTCGATTGTGTTCCTGTGTAAATTTTCTGTGTTCTTGTGAGGATTCTAACCTGATGTAGCTAAAGCATAGGTATTCCTGTAACTGCTTCCTATTACATCCATCACTAGTCCTTAGGCACGATCAAATCAAAAAAGGACCCCTAGATTATGGTCCTATATTTGACTTGTTGAGCTTTGGACAAATGTCTGCCTACTCTCCCGAGTCATAATTGAGATAATGGGTGGAGAAGAAGGATGAATCTACCATCTGTTGACTGGAACGTCTTATACATGAAGTCGGTCATTTCTATTAGCTTTGGAAGAGTGTATTCGTTTGTCTAGCACTAATTATGTGTTTTTTTTTCCTAATGCTGAAGTTGCATGCTCTTGTGGAGTACGACACAGTGGAGGCTGCAGAAAAAGCTGTGAGTTTTAAGTAGTTTCCCTTATACTTTGCAACCTGCCCATGTTCTAGTTGATATTGTCAATTTAATGGTATTCACTGTTTTCACTCAATTTGTTTCAGGTGGCTCATTTAAATAATGAGCAGGATTGGCGATATGGCCTGCGGGTCAAACTTTTAAAGAAAAAGGTAATTGGATCTCATCTTCATCTCCATATTAGTAAGAACCGCAAGGTTGATTTTCCTGTCTGTGCATTCAGACCAAAGAAGTCGGGAAAAAAGTATGGAGGGAAGTCGATGCTGAGAAGAACATTGTCCAAGCATCTAATACAGCTGTAGAAGAGGAAAACAATGATTCAAGTGATCACCATGATGATTCTCATGATGAAGAGGTTAGAAAGAAACCTTCTCTAGCCCTCGCTAGCCTTTTCCTTCATCCTTTTTCATCTTTTGTTTTCTACTGAGATATGCTATAGTTCAATGTGCTTCCCTTCCGTGCTGAATAGAACCTTTTGTTTCTTAATGGTGCCAATATTGCAGTCCTGGGGGACTGCATCGACGTATTCAGGAAAAGTGGAATCAGAGAACAAAACAGTTTTTATAATCCTATTCTACACACATTGATAGACGTCACTTATACAGTAGTTTATATTATGGTCCGCTGTCAAAGCTTCAAGCTCTTCCAAAAATGTTTGTATTAATTGCTGCTTTGTTGCATCCTCCTTAATGTGGTTATGTGCTGATTGGCACCCAGTGGTACATTACTTCTGTGCACTGCCTAGAAATCATTTTTGCTTTTGAATTTTCCTACTGGTGGGCGTGCCTATATAAATTTTCAGTTGCAAATTATGTAGCAAATAATTTTATCCAACAACATTTTACTTGTCTCACTATAGGAGGGGGATCACTTAACAAAGGATAAAAGTGGGGAACACCCACGAAAGGAAAAAAATGGGGACCATCTGCACAAAGAGAATAATGGTCAAAGGAATCGACATCGAGGGCGTGGAAGGAGACAGAAATATCATGGCACAAATGGACATGGTAATAAGAAAGTTGGAGCCTACACTTTCCCGTTGTTTGTGCCTTTTATATATGGTTGTCTTCTTGTAGTTACATATAGGAATATGTAAATGTCTGCAGGCCATGGAACACCACCTTCAAGTCATGTTGAGCCCTCGAAGCCACCACCAGGCCCGAAAATGCCGGATGGTACCAGAGGATTTACCATGGGGCGAGGCCGACCTCTGGTGTCAAATGCAATCTAATCGGCATTCTTTTATCCTTGTTTGTTGGTTGTAATCCTTGTATGATAGCATTGATCCTTCCTTGTGCAACGCTTAGTGTTTTTTGGTTGATTTGCCCGTGTATCTGTAATGGTTCACTGCCGTGCCTGGTGGTGGTGCAAAGTAAAAGATTTGGAAAGAACTGCAGTCTATTAATGGACTGTATTGGAAGGAACTTTGTGCATGCTTTGATAATTGCAATTGCAACGTGGTTGATCTTTTCAGTGAATGTGAGTTAAGTTGCCGGAAGGTAAGAAATTGTTGAAGGAAAATATTGCTTGACGTATCTTTAAGAAATTAACTGACTGGGCGGTAAAAAATGTTGTTACTTTTTAAACAAACAAAAAGGTGGAAATGGTGAAATATGTCAATTTCCAATATTTTCAAATATTTTTATTTAATTATAAAACACTACTGCTAATTAGAAACAGCGAATCAAACATGAAGATTTCACTTCATCATGGTCCGATGAGTTTTCATCCCTGAAAGGGACCTCATTTTTCAGTACAACTAGTGTATAAAATCGTTGTACGAAGCGTGGAGGAAAAAAAAAACTAGGAAGCCTCGTCTCTCTAATGTCCAAAGGGAAGAAACATAGATCAGAAATTTAACAAAAGAAGCCCTAATTTTGAAGTGTAATAAGGGGTTGTTTGCTAAGCATTGTGTAATGCGACACCTAAATTTGCAGTAACCGAGCTTTAGATTGAAAGGATTTTAAGAGTTTGACTGCCCGAAAGCTTGTTTAGGCCGGTTGAACATCTTGGGCCGTATTTTCGGACGTCCTCTGCTACTATTGGCTGTCTGAAATGACAACTCAGTAATAAAATGTGCCTAGAAATTTAGGCCACCTGATTGGCCATAATCTCAGCGATCCCAGTGGTCCGAAGAAAGATACTTCGAAAGGAAAAAGTCAAGGCACCGTAGGCCACTCCTTCGGCCGTTCGAAACCAAGATGGGTTTTACACTTACAGCTATAGATTTTTTTAAAGGTAACCAAACAAGAAAAGGGGAAAAAAACCACGAATTGAAATTGACATGCTGGAAGTGCCTGTGAACTTTCACCTTTAGTCCCTAAGTAGATGCATATAACAATCTTTAAATTTTTTTTCACATGAATATGTTACACAGAGTTCACTTTTTTATTTTTAAAATATTGTTATTAATGGGGTGTACGAACTCCAAACATGACGAAAACTGATAACACCACAAAGGGAAAAAAAATAGGTAATAAAACAGCGTATAATTGTATTAGACATAGAAATTGCATATGATTGTCCCTTTGTGGCTCGGTGCATTTGATATTTCTAGGGGATGAAGAAGAATGAGTACTTGCATTTGAGATTGTATGACTTATAGTGTTTTTTAAGGTATTTTTGAAGTGCCATACTGTAAACTTCAAATCCGAAAACGTGTACATGGAATACTTGATAATCCAAATAGAGCCATTAATATTGACCTAAATGAATGCGGAGGATTGCCCATTGTAAGGGTACTCCCGTACAACGAGAGAGATAAAATACTAATTTTTAATATTCCACCAAACGCAAGATTCACATGGCAAATACTTCTAAAATTCTTAGTCACAAAATTTTTCGTCCTACTTTGGAAGTTCATTTTCTTTGAACTTCACTTTAAGAAGTAATAGATTTGCATCCCAAAGAAATTATGGCTGGAGTGGGGTCACAATGCTTTAGAAAAGTCCACTTGTTCATTTAGCTTCCTAATTAAAGCTGGATAATCCAAATGAAAGAGATAATAAGTAATAGTATGAACCAATTAATTCCTAAATATTATTTTATCTTAGATTAGAAGATTAAAATCATCTTATTACGAGTAGAAAAACAGAGGCCAAATGTTCGGCCAACCGTTAGTAGTATGGTTTCTTAAGCAAAAGCCAGTAGGATGATTTTCAATGTCCGTAAATGCCTATAAAAGATTACAAGGTATGTGAACTGACCGTCTAAGATGGAATTCAATTCCATCGAGAAAGAGAAAAGACATAAAGGAAAGCTGAAATTCAATTTCTTAGCACCTAACCTTGGAAAATTACAGATTACATTTACCAATTGGGCTGGCACTAGAAAAGAATTACACTATCATTTGTTGTTGGGTAACTTTTTCTGCTTTCTTCTTGCTAGTAGACAGACTTGTAAAAGAGGATTTGATAAATTAAAAAAAAAAAAGAAAAAGAAAAAAGAAGCAGACTACAATGGTGTAAAAGACTTTGGCGCTTTGACAAGTCTTTGTTTAATAATCTTTGTTTAATTGGCATGAACAGGCTATTGGCTTTGACAGCTCATCAATGCTTGTTGAGGCCATTATAAATTTGATTAGGAAGACAAGTTAAATTACATGGATTAAACTACAAATGACTTGTCTTCGGGTTCATCACAAGTCAATGATTGAACTAAAGAATTATTTAATACGTTTAAGCCTGTGCATGATGGCCAGCAATTTGAAAACAAATTGAGGGTTAACAACTATTTTCAAAATAATTTCATTTTCAACCACAAGAACATGCCAATTTGCAAGATTGAGCTTTAGTCTCTAACATTAAGTGGCCCAGCCAAGAATCACTTTCAACGGGGTAAAGACAAAATATAATATATTTATTATTTTCCCCCTAAAACTAAGACATAACAGCAATATTCACATATTAATTAAAAATAATACAACTATTTCAAAAAAAAAAAACTGATGTATATTGTAGCATAAAGTGACATGCTAGAACATACTAATAAAACAATTGTTTCCTATATATATATATATATATATATATATATATATATGTAGGATTTTTTATATTTGCTCGAAACAAGCTTTCAAAACTTTGCATTTTATAACCTGTTTATTCAAAGCTTCACGAGAAGGTGAGAGAGTGAAGAGGTGAATAGAGGAGATGAAGAAGAGTTGATGTATTAGTCCTTTTTATTTAGTAAAAGGAGATCCGGAGGCAAACTAAGTAATACAACTAACATATTAAGATTTTTGTTTATTGAAAGAGTCCATACAATTTTGCAATTTTAAACTCCATTTTTAGTAAGTTATGAAACTAGTATAAGTGAATTTTAGGAAAAAAAGAAAATATTGCGAAAATTATAAGGGTAGATACTAGTGTAAATCCGCCACTACCAACATTATTGTTCTGTCACTTTACCAGTTACATTGACACACATTCATTATTGAAGATTGAAAAAAAAAAAAAAGAATATCTACTCCTAGATGAAATGGATACTTACACTAAACACTTAACACACGTTCACTATTTGAGGATACTAGCTACTCATGCACTAAATGGGTACTTATACTAAACCCCCTAAACTTAAAATGTACTTTTAACTTTAAAATCCATTTTTAAATGAGTGTCATTAACATGTTTTTCTTTGTAAATAAGAGATCTTGAATATAAAATCTCTTATTTACAATTTCTTCCATCTTATCACCCAATCGAACCCACCCCTATCATTAACCTCTTTTTAATCATTAGTCAACATAATTATGTTGTCAAAACAATCGAAATGACAAAGATAACCCTAGCACTACCATGGTTTTGTTTTCCTGTATAATTGCATCATGAAAACAATTTAAATGATAATATGTCACTATACACCTATACTGTTATGAGTAATTTTTTAATGTATTGTCAGTGTATACATACACGAGTATAGATATATGCCATATAATCCAATTTCAAATTTAAAATTTACTTTTTTCATAAGAGCATACATTTACACCTATTAATCTAAAAAATTCACTACATTGATAATGCATAAAAACTTAATCCTACTGTTATTACTAACTTTTGTTGCTTTTCTTTTTCCATACCTTAGTTCACGTGAGAGCATATCAGTTTCAAAAAAAAAAAAACAGCACACGTACACACGTACACTATGATGTGTCGCAAGTTTATTTTAAGTAAGAGAGACCCATAGTGATCGACTACATATACGTCCACCTTTTAATATTTGTTAGATTTTGTAGTTGCCTTTGGCCTATTGCCTGTGCGATAAACAGTAATGTGTTATTTTATTACGAAATTGATTTTAAGTTGAAATAGTAAAATATTGGAAATTGATGAATTCAGAATTGAATTTGCTTCATACTTTCAAAACTCTAAATGTCAAGTTTTATCAAATCTCATTCGTATTTATCACACACCATCCTATCAATAACCATATCCTTCGTAGTTTTGGTTTGGCTTTTGTGGTCTCTTTTGTTTACTTAGCAAAAACGAATTTTTGTACTTTGACGGTTCATCAATGGTTGCCATGACATTTGAACATTTCATGAAGACAACATTTCTTTCTCTGCATAGACTAATATGTCGATCCTTTTCTTCCAGCTTATTATTAATAAATATTGAACTAAAGAATTATGTAATACGTTAACTCTATTGGTCAAAGCCCACCGTAAGCAACTTGGAAGTAAGACAACGGTTATTTATTGTTCTAGAAATAATCTTGTTTAATTAGCATAAACATGTTATTGGTTTTGACAGTTCATCAAAGGTTGTTAAAGGCATTATAAATTTGAACAGGATGACATCTCTTCTTTGGCATGAATTAAATTATGGAAAATTATATCTGTTCCAGTTCATTATTAGACAATTATTGAACTGAAAACTTTTTCTTAAAGAACTATTTAATACGTTAAGTCTATAGCTGATGGACCACCTTTGGCAAGCTGCAGAAAGCAAAATGAGGGAAGATACGTGTTTTCAATATAATGACATTTTCAATTAAAAGAAAATGTTAATTTCCTAATTCGCAATATAGTCCCTAGCATTATTGTTTTGCCACTTTACGCCTTCCATTAATACACATTTATTGTTTGAGGATTGAAAAACTAAAGAAGATATTACTATTCCCAGACCAAATGGTTTACTTATATTGAACCCTAAAAGGTACTGCAGAATTCTCTAAAAGTATAATTTGCATTTCACTTTAATTTTTAGCTTTAAATTTGAGAGAGGGTTAGGTTGGATAGTAAGTTGGGAGGGATTGTAAGTAGGAGATCTTGAGTTTAAGACCTCTTACTTGCCAAAAAAAAATACTATATTTCTTTAGCTTTAAGTTCAGGTACTTTTCAACTAGTAATCAAGATAATTATGTTACTAAAGCAGCTAAAATGACAAACATACCCCTATCACTACTATGGTTTTTATTTTCTTTTGTACTTGTGTTGTGAAAAAAAATCAAAAAATAAACACATCTCTATGCACCAATAGTGTTTTCTCCATTGCTTTCTTTTTGCTAGGGATGCAAACGAGTCGAGTTTTGAATTTATTGAGTTGAGTTACACTTATTTATATGCGAGCTTGAGTTCGAGCTCGAACTCGTCAAGCTCAAAAATGAAGCTCGAGCTCGGCTCGATTTAGGAAAAGGCAAATTCAAGATCGACTCGCTTATGACTCACGAGCCTAGCTCGAATCCTGGTTCACGAGTAGCTCGAGTTTCGCTCGATTTTCTGGCTTGCATGAAACTCGAATTTAGCTCAATTTCTAGCTAGTTAGGAGCTCGAGCTTGAACTCGAAATCAGCTCGATTTTCTGGAAATTTAAGCAAGAAAACAGCATTTTTTTTCCACATAATTTTGATAAAAATTTGAGCATGATAACAACAATTTTCACATATTCTTGATCTTGAAACCTACAAATTATCTACTAATTCAATCATAAACATATAAAACATAAAAATCTAAATGTCCAACACTTGAAATGTTCAACCATTGTCAAACTAATATAATGATAATAATAATAATAATAACAACAACAAATTAGTGGTTGGAATATACTACTATAGATATTATTGCCAAACTAAAAATCTATCCAAGAGAGAAATATAAATGATTTTTTATTTTCCTTTCTTTTTGGTACAGCAAGCATGAAAAAAAAGTAAAATTACTGACTTGAATGAAGTCGTTATCCAAGCACGAAGGCAGTGCTTTAGGTGGCTTAACAAAAGTATAACGCATCAATTTCCTGAAAGCCTCCGGCGTATGCGGCAGCAGAATGGTGGCGGCGTCGTCCACGTTATTCACCGGAAACATCCCATCTCTAATATCCTTCTCCTCCAAACACGCCGGGGAGCATATTATCACCACCTTCTCCACACAATCTTCAAACTGCAGCGCCATGCTGTACGCCACGAACCCACCGTAACTCATCCCCACCAGCCTCATTTTCTCCACCGACTTAGCCTCCATCACTCGCTTCACACACTGAGCCTGGAACGCGTCGGACCTGTCCGGCCTGGTCGTGTGTGACTCCCCGAAAAACACCAGGTCCGGCACGTAGACGTTGAAATGGGGCGTCAGGATTTTGACGGCCTCGCACCATTGCCAGACGGCATCGGGTCCGAAGCCGTGGATGAGGACTACGTTGGGTGCAGAGGCCCCGTTCTGGGCCCGGACACGCGGCAGCCCAGGAGGAACCGAGCTGGGCCTTGGCCCCCAGACTCCTGGCAGCAGCCCTGGGCCGCACCGACTAGGGCTCCCAGGGGAGGCGAAGGTCCGTCCCGAGGAGGTCGGGAGTAATCCCCCCGAGTGCGGGATGCTATCTATACTGGGCAAGTCCCGCGTCATGCGGAGGTCGGACTCCCTTGCAGGTATAAATAATAACACACATCCACTGTACAAGGTACGCTCACTATTGACAATTTACTCTGGGCAGCTGCTACTTCCCGTGAACCTGACTCACCGGAAAACTAACTTGGCCGTCGGAGCGCCCTCGGGGACAACCCTCGGGCCCCCTCTGTTAGCCCATCTTCTCTGTTTTGCAGGTCTTGGATCAGCTCTCCCATCGACACCCCGAGCTGATCAGGTCAGCTCTCCTCGGGGAAGCTCAGCGCTTCTTCAGTTGGCGCCGTCTGTGGGAACCGTAAGGTAAGTAAGATTGTGTTGATGGCCCGGACGCGATCCAAGCGTACGGCAGAGAGCGCCGGCCCTGGGGGCGGTGAGGGGTCCCAGCGGAAAGAGGCCGGGGCGTCCCAGGGCGTCGGTGGTTCGGCCCTTTCAGGGGAACGGAGGCAGCAGATCTTCCAGTTCGTGACGGAGAATCTCCCCATGCTGGAGGATATAATTCGGCAGGCGAAGGAGGGAGAGGGGGCTGGGGGTGCACAGACCTCCAAGGCCAAGGGAAAGGAGAAGGAGTTACCCCCTGATCCTTCGGAGGATGAGTCGCGCGACCAACCCCCTAGGAGGAAGCGACCCCGGACTCCTACCCGTCCCCGAGCCTCGGTGGTCGGGGACAGCAAGAGGTATTCCCGCGACAGGTCCGCGAGGAGCCAACCCAGAGACCCCTCTCCGAGGAAGCCCACACGGAATGGGTTCGAGCGTTCCCCTGCTCGGTCTGTCAAAAGCCGGCCCCGCGATCATCTGGACCCTGGTCGGGATGAGCTCGAGCAGATCTTGAGGCCCCGGCCATACGAAAACAACTATGCAACCTCGCCCTTTACCCGGGAGATAGAGGACTACCCCCTACCCCGGAGGTTCAAGATTCCGAGCATCGAGATGTACGATGCCTCTACAGACCCGGAAGACCACCTCTCGGTATTCCTGACGCATATGCGCCTGCAAAACCGCCGCGGATGAGGTTCGCTGCAAGACCTTCCCTATGTTCCTAAAGGGGAAGGCGCGGCTCTGGTTCCAGGGACTGAAACCGGGATCTATACGGAGCTTTCCCGAGCTGGCCCGGCAGTTTGCAACCCAGTTCGTCTCCTCGAAGGTTTACGCGAGGAACGCAACCCACCTGATGTCCATCAGGCAAAGGCCCGACGAGTCGCTGAGGAATTTCATGACCCGCTTCAATGCGGAGAGCTTGCAGGTCAGGGACAAGGACGAAAAAGTGGTGATGGCCGCCTTCACAAACGGGCTCAGGGTGGAGGAGCTTTTCTACGATCTGGCCAAGAAGCCTCCCGTAAACCTGGAAGAGCTCCTACGCAGGGCTCACGAGGCTGCCAACGCGGAGGAGGCGGGTCGCCTAAAGAAAGAGCCAGATCGGGAGATCGGAGATCGTAAGGGCCGGACCAACCCCCTGAAGGGCAAGGAGGCCCCGGCCAAGAAAAATGTCTTTGATCGGCTCTCGAAGGAGAAGACCCCTGCTCTGCCACCACTCTCAGAGAAGACCTACACCCCTCTAATACGGCCCAGAGCTCAGATCTTGGCCGTCATGGAGGCGGAAGGGCTGGGAGAGCGGCCGCCCAAGATGGGGACGCCCCGGAACAAAAGGAACCAGGACCGATATTGCGCCTTTCACCGTGACGTCGGACACGACACGGAGGGGTGCTGGGCCCTGCGTAAGGAGATTGAAGACCTGATCCAACGTGGCTTTCTAGGTCGGTTCGTACGCCGACCAGGTCAGGAGTTCGGGCGCAACCATTACGGGGATAGGCGTGAGGGACGGCGTCGGGACCGCCCAGAGCGGCGCGACGCTCCTCGGGGCTACTCTCCCGACCAGGACACCCAGAACCTGGCGGGGGTGATAAACACCATTGCCGGAGGTCCCACAGGGGGGACAGCCATGCAGCTCGGAAGAACAAGCGGCCACCCCCCGAAGGGGACGACTCCTTGAAGCCCTTGCGCATGGACGAGGAGATCACCTTCGGGCCAAGGGATGCGGTCCCCCTGGCTTCTGGGAACCATGAGGCCATCGTGATAAACATTGTCACCAACAACTATCGGGTGAAAAAGGTATATGTCGACCAGGGTAGTGCGGTCGACATCATGTTCTACAGGGTGTTCAAGGAGCTCGGATTAAGGGATGACCAGCTCACCCCGGTCCGGACACCTCTGGTGGGATTTACCGGACCACCCATCAGCTCGGAAGGGATGATCACCCTGATGGTCACAGTAGGACAGACTCCCAAATGCCGGACTGTTCCCGTCAACTTCGTGGTGGTCAGGCAGCCGTCCCCGTACAATGTGTTCCTGGGGAGCCCTGCTTTGAACGCCCTCCGGGTTGTTTCCTCCACTTACCACCTCAGCGTCAAGTTCCCTACCCCGGGGGGGATAGCCGAGGTGCACGGCGACCCGGAGGTAGCCAGGGCTTGTTACCTAGCCACACTCCGGGGGCAGGAGAAGGTGGTCGCCCAGACAACCTGTTTGGAGCCCTACATCCCAGGGGACGAGGCCCAACTGCTGGGCACCCAGGATGAGATTGAGGAGTTTCCCTTGAGGAAGGAACGTCCCGACCGGGTCATCCGCATCGGAGCATTGCTGCCAGCGGACGAGAAGGAAGGCCTGAAGGCCTTATTGAGGGAGTACTCCCAGGTTTTCGCATGGACGGTGGATGACATGCCCGGGATCCCTACGGACCTGGCCGTCCATCACCTCGACGTGGACCCTCACTTCAAGCCAGTAAAGCAAAAGAAAAGGAGTTTCGCCCCCGAGAGAAATGAGGTGATCAGGGCGGAGGTCGGGAAGTTGTTGGAGTCCAAGATCATCCTGGAGATCTACTACCCGACTTGGCTGGCCAACCCCGTCCTGGTCAAGAAAGAGGACCTGACCTGGAGGATGTGTGTAGACTTCACAGACCTTAACAAAGCCTGCCCAAAGGACTGCTTTCCCCTGCCTCGAATTGACAGGTTAGTAGATTCTACTGTGGGCTTTGACGTTTTATGCTTTCTGGATGCCTTTAAGGGATATCACCAGATAGAGATGGCCGAGGAGAACCGGGACAAGACCTCCTTCATCACCGAGGAGGGGACCTACTGCTACAGGACCATGCCCTTCGGATTGAAGAACGCGGGAGCAACTTACCAGCGCCTGGTGAACAAGTTATTCCAAAACCAGGTCGGCAGGAGCATGGAGGTTTATGTGGACGACATGATCGTAAAAAGTCGAACTGACCAGCGCCTCATACCCGACCTGCGGGAGGTCCTGGACATCCTACTGAAGAGCCGGATGCGCCTAAATCCGAAGAAGTGCACTTTTGGGGTCAGATCGGGAAGGTTTCTCGGTTTCCTGGTGTCCCGAGACGGAATCCGGGCCAACCCGGATAAACTCCAGGCCATCATGGACATGGCCCCTCCGAGGAGCGTGAAGGAGGTCCAACGGCTAACAGGAAGGATGGCCGCCCTGAATAGGTTCCTTTCGCGCTCCGCGGTCCGGGGGCTGCCCTTCTTCCGAGTACTGAAAGCGCCGAAGGACTTCCACTGGACTGACGAGTGCCAGAAGGCCTTCATCGACAAAAAAATCTACTTGGCCGAGCTACCATCTCTGACAGCCCCAGAGCCGGGGGAGACCTTATTCCTATACCTATCCGCCTGCAACGAGGCCGTCAGCGCGGTCCTGGTGCGGGAGGATGGGGGGGCTCAGAAGCCGGTGTATTACGTAAGCCGAGCTCTACAGGGGCCAGAGACACGATACTCGCCAGCTGAGAAGTTGGTCCTTGCCTTGGTACATGCGGCACGCAAGCTCCGCCCTTACTTTCAGGCTCACGGCATTGTAGTCCTGACTGACCAGCCCTTGCGTCAGATACTCACCAAGCCAGAGGTCTCGGACAGAATGACCAAATGGGCTGTCGAACTAGCCGAGCACGACATCGGCTATCAACCCCGCAAAGCCGTCAAGGCCCAGGCCTTAGCGGATTTCCTCGCTGAGGGGGCTAGCTTGAGTCTAACCGAGCTAAGCCCCCAACATGAGGAGCGGCTGCCGAAGGAGCCCTGGGTGTTGTTCGTAGACGGGGCCTCCAGCAAGGAAGGAAGCGGGGCGGGTCTGCTACTCATTTCACCTACCGGGGAAGAACTGACCTACGCCCTCCGATTGGACTTCCCCGCGTCCAACAACGAGGCCGAGTACGAGGCCCTGCTCACAGGATTGCGGATATCCCACCAGATGGGAATAACCGCGATCCAGGTCAGGAGCGACTCACAGCTCGTCGTCCTTCAAGTCCTTGGGGAGTACGAAGCCAAGGACGAGGTTATGAAGAAGTACCTGGCCAAAGTACGAGAGGCGGTGGCCTTGTTCGAAACGTTCGAAATCGAGCGGGTGCCAAGGTCCCAGAACAAGCGGGCAGACGCCCTTTCAAAGTTGGCATCCTCCTCATTTGCTCACCTGAGCAAGGAGGTATTGGTGGAGGTGCTGAAGCAGAAAAGTATCAATCAGGTCCAGGTCCTGGCTATGGACAGCTCGGCCACCTGGATGACGCCCCTCGTTGACTTCCTCAGCTCGGGTGACCTCCCCGAAAACAAAGCTGAGGCCCGACGCATCCAGCTCCGAGCTGCCAAGTACGCCTACGCCGGGGGAACCCTCTACAGGAGGTCGTACTTGTCCCCCTGGCTAAAGTGCGTGACGCCCGAGGAAGGTGATTACGTCTTGCGCGAAATCCATGAAGGAATATGTGCGGCCCATGTGGGGTCCCGAGTGCTGGCTAAGAAGTGCCTCCTTTTGGGCTACTATTGGCCCTCCGTCTTCCGAGACGCAGCAGATCTGGTCCAAAAATGCCCAGCCTGCCAGGTGCACGCTTCGCTGCGCCATCAGCCAGCTCGGGAGACGGTCCCCATCCACAGTCCTTGGCCCTTCGCTCAATGGGGGATAGACCTCCTGGGTCCCTTTCCCCGAGCCCCGGGAAGATATGAGCACCTCGTGGTAGCCATAGACTACTTCACAAAATGGGTGGAAGCGGAGCCCCTGGTCTCTATCTCGGGGAAGGCAATTCAGAAATTCTTTTGGAAGAGCATAGTTTGCCGGTTTGGAATTCCGCATGTCCTGATATCCGACAATGGCCGCCAGTTCGCCGAGAACCCTTTCCGCAGCTGGTGCGCCGAGCTCGGAATCAACCAACACTTCACGTCGGTTGGTCAACCCCAGGCCAATGGCCAGGTGGAGAACGCTAACCGAACTGTCCTGCAAAGGTTGAAGACTAGACTGGAGTCCGCCCAATCAAGCTGGCTGGATGAGCTCCCCAGTGTCCTCTGGGCTTACCGCACTAAGCCCAGGACGGCTACTCACGAGACCCCGTTCTCCCTAACATACGGAGCAGAGGCTGTGGTGCCCGCAGAGGTTGGTCTTCCCTCACCCAGAACACAGAACTTCGTGGCAACGTCCAACGAGGAAGAGCTTAGGTGCAACTTGGACATGCTCGAAGTCAGGCGGGAGGAAACGGCTATTCGAATGGCTAAGTATAAAACCCAGCTCGCTCGCTATCACAACGCCAAAGTAAAGACTATACAGTACCAGCCGGGAGACCTCGTCCTGAGGAAGAACTCGATAAGCCGAGTGCACGGCTCCAACAAGCTCGACCCAAATTGGGAGGGCCCCTACAAGGTCCTTGAGGCGAGCCGAGCTGGCTATTGCAAGCTCGCTAAGATGGATGGATCTGAAGTACCTCGGACTTGGCACTTCTCCAATTTGCGGTTGTTTGTAGCGTAGGTTAAACCAGGGTGATCAGTGGCCTGTTCTCTGGAATCCGAGTTTTTGTTTTCCCATTCAATCACAGCTCGTTTTAATTTTCACTTGTCCTTGTTTCATTTTACAATTTTCAAACCTGCACCTTACACTAGCACATTCAGCATTCCCTTGCTCAACGTCCTAGTGGGGGGCTAGGGGTAGTGGGTGAAGTGTTCGACCCGGGAGGTCGGCACGAACGCGCTTAATGAAGTGTGAAGGGTTCGACCCAGGAGGTCGGCAAGAACGCACTTAATGCTTAAAATATTCTGAAGTGTGAAGTGTTCGACCCAGGAGGTCGGCACGAACGCGCTTAATGAAGTGTGAAGGATTCGACCCAGGAGGTCGGCAAGAACGCACTTAATGCTTAAAGTACTCGGTCGGAAGTGCGAATTGTTCGACCTAGGAGGTCGGCAAGGACGCGCTTAATATTTAAAGCACTCAGCCCCAAGGGGTGAGGTGTGAGGTGTTCGACCCCGGAGGTCGGCACATAGCATTGCGAGTGGGCAAGGAAAGAAGAAAATAACTCTTCGAAGTCTTGTGTATACATTGCAAGCCTATCTATTACAAAGCTTCCGAGCTGCCTATCTATTACAAAGCGCCCTGCCTATCTACCGTAAAATTTCCGAGCTGGTAATCTCCTTCGATGTCTGTTCTACCTGCTGGTGGCCCGACCGGGGTGGAAGCTGAAAGTACACCTTAAGCATGGTGAGAGGCGTATGGTGAAGGCTATTCGGGAGCCCGGAAGCAGGAAACCCCTTCCGTCCTGGATGGACCTCCAAGAGCATTTTCAACTGGAGCATGGTCACATCCTTACAAAAAGACAGAAAGGGTTTCTGGAGTGGCTACCGCCCTAGGCCATCGGCTCTTTCCCGGCAGCTCTGCCTGGAGACCCGTCCTCCTCCAGGGGAACCTCCTCTAGGTCTGCTCCTACGTCGGTTCGGCGGACCAGGCTCTTCAGGGCATGCCCCTTCCGGTACCCATCAAAGAGCCAGTCCAGCCTATCCTCGGCCGCAGGATCGTAGTCCTTGAAGTCCGCCACGTTGAAGCCGGGTAGGTTGAGGCCCTGCACCTGGGTCAGGGCCCGCGTAGAGCCAACCTGGAGGATGGGCTGGTTGAGGAGGGCGATGTCCACCTCGAACTGATCGGAGGAGATAAACTCCCGAACAGCCTTCTTCCGCTCTC